GTGTATAGATAACAATACATTTGGGAACTGACATCTGTCAACCAGACCCGCATAAACATGACTCCGTACCAAACGCATTGTAACTTTGAAGACGGACCGAGTTTAGTCCGAATAAAATCAGCATTTCTATAGAATGTTTATAACTGAAGATTTTATGGGTTGTTCTGCCGTTTGCTATTTTCTGAAATACATTTTCATCTCGCACGTAAATAACTCATGTATTATTTTCAATATGATAGTTAATTATCAGAAATTAACCGTGATATTCCATGTTTGCTAGCAATCTGTTAGTCTTCAATACCGCCTATAAGAATAACGTTTTCCTGTCAGTTCTCTGGATTTACACCAGATAGCGCACTGTAGATCCACTTGCTTCTAGTAGCCTAAGAGACGGTTTAAGCAGGCCGTGGTTCCATGGCATTTTCGCAACTGCCGAAAAGTGCATGGGTGCAGGACAGTAGCACTTTGTTGTGTCGAACAAACAACATGTTTGAACACCAACGAATATACCTCAGTCCATAGACATATGCTAAGATTAAGCCCCTGTATTATGGGTCTTAATTAGGTATTATTAGGCTAAAGCACGTATTCTGAACTTTGTAAATCCGGAGAAATGACAAGATAATGTTATTGTTACCGGCGGAATTAAAAACTATTAGTTTGTTAGCAAATCCTACCGAATAATTTATTTCTGGTATATTTGTCTACGGAATGGGGTACATTCGTTGGTATTCGAATACGTGTTTGATCGACTTAACGAAGTGGTGTCGTTTACACCTATGCATTGCGGGTGCTAAAAAGCCATAGAACCATTGCCTGTTTAAACCGTCCTATAGGCTACTAGAAGCAAGGCTATCAACGGTGGACGTACACTGTGGAAATGCAGAGTGACAGATGAATAATGATAAGTTATTACATAGCATGCATAAAATCTACAATATGTTAAGGTTTCGCAAAAACAATTTGTGATTTTTTCACACTTTTGCTCCAGAAAAAATTTTTGAAATATGAGACTGTTATTGCTCTGAGAGTTATTTGTTCCCTGACTTTATTTAGCCGTCATGGTCGCTCATGTTTTAAATGAGTTGTTATTTCGCTTCTGGATCAAC